CAGGGCTGGAGAGGGCTGCGGGAGGGGGTTGGCTTGGCTTTTAATTAAATCTTGAGCCCTCTGGGGAGAGTTTCGGTGAGGAGGGGGCGTGCGTCGCCCACGCGGGTCCGCGGGGGCCGCAGCCGGAGACCACCCCCCCCCGCCCCGCGGGGCCGGGGGAGCCGAGCCGAGCCGCTTTCGGGGTGAGGAGCCGGGTCCGGACCGCTGCTGCCGCCGGCAAGAGGAGGAGAGCCCGGCTGGCTGCAGGGCGGGAGGGCTGTGGGAAAAGGAGGGCAGTGCTGGTCAAATTGGGTGCCCCCCGCCCCGCTTTTGCCGCCTCCCCCGTCCCAGCCGTCGGCCTCCGTCCTCCCAGGGACCGGTGGCTTCGCTCCAGCCCTGCCAGAGCAGGAGGCTGCCCCACGGGGGGCCGCGGGGCAGGGGTCTTGCTCAGCCCAGAGCCTTTGCGATCCCGAACCCGGGCCTCGACGTGGGAGCATTGTTTGTGCAGCCGGGGAACCGGGAGAGCTTCGCCCACCCTTCCTCTCTCCTGGGTACAGCCCGTAACTGCGTCGCCTTCTCCTGCGAGAAGGGGTTGGATGTGCACAAGCAAATATTTTCAAATGCTGAAGTCCCACAGCTTTGTCCCTCTGGTTTCATTTCGCCCTTAAGTAGCGCTGTTAACTCAGGTTTTTTTTTTTTCTTCCTCCCCACTACCCTTTAAGGCGCAGAGGCTGCTGGCGCACCGGAGACCGCAGAAATCCTTCTTTGAGACGCTCATCAGGGGCCTGATCATCTTGTGCGTGGCGATAGCGGTGGTCTTGTCATCTATCTCCGTCTGCGATGGCCGCTGGCTCTTTGCGAGGGGGCAGCTCTTCGGACTGTGGCACTTCTGCACCCTCAGCAACGGCAGCGTCCTGAAATGCGTCACCGACCTCAGCCTGGCCAGGGTGGAGGGGCTGAGCGTGGGGGTGATTCCCATAAGAAGCATGGTGTCCTTCGCCGTCGTGGTCGCCATATTCGGCCTGGAGCTGCTGATGGTGTCCCAGGTCTGCGAGGATGCCAACGCGAGGCGGAAGTGGTCGATGGGCTCCGTTCTCATCCTCTGCTCGTTTTTGCTGTCGGCCACCGGGGTTCTGAGCTTCTCCATCCTCGTGAAGGATCACCTCACCTTCACGGGCTTCACGCTGACGTACTGGTGCGAGTTCATCGCCGCCTTTCTCTTCTTCCTTAACGGGATCAGCGGACTTCACATCAACAGCCTCACGCACCCGAGGAACAGGGTAGGCAAAATCTAGGTGCGAAGGGTGTACCTCCACCTTTGTGTAATCAGCTTTGACAATTAGACTGGAAAAAAGGGAGTCTAACAAAGTTTGAGAAGGACGCCATGTCTTAAATTGTGTGCCAGGAGGGGAAGGATGAGTCAGTCTTGATTCCTGTAGAAGACGTACCCACCCACTGGTCAGCGTGGAGGGCTGCGCAACACGAGCAAAGCAGAGACTGGGACTGGTTGCGGCCGCAATGCGGTTTTCTGGAGGAGTGGATTAAACAAGAGGGTGTGCTGTTAAACGCTCAGAGGGGTGGCAGACTGCGATCCACCCATGTGGGCTGTTTTGAGGCTTGCACAAAACCTGTACTGCTACGGATCTGGTGATGCTACGCTTTCCCCCGTACTCTGGAGCCCGTGAAGTGTGGCACAACTTCGGCGTGTCTCATGGCTTTGCTCTGACTCGGGGACAAATGCTTTGTTCCTGGCCATGCTCACTGGTGTGGAGTACTGAAAATCTTCACTGGATCTCACTCCTCCATTTCTCTTTCAAAAGAGAAGGCACACAGATCTTGATGTGGTCACCCGTTTTGTTTCCTGCTGGCATGTTCCCTGTATCTGTCCTTTGTGAGTTTTTCTGGGACGCTTCTGACAGAGGTGCAGGGAGATAGATGTAGCTTTCCTGGGGCCAAGGGCAGGTGTTGGGTGATGCAGGTGTACAGGGAAGGGTTGTGATGGCTTCCTCGGGCGGCAGCACGTGTTCCTGTCCTCGTGGCCTCTCCCCACTGTCACCGCTCCTTTGCCACCCCTGTAGGACACGTGCCAATCGGTCACCCAAACTGGCTCCCTCACAGCCCTTGCAGAGTTCACTGTAATGGGGTATTGCTCTTCCCAGTTTCTTTTTAGTCCCTTTGGGGCAAGAGGGACAAGCTCTGCTGGGGCTTTAGGTGGCCATTGTGGTTGGGCAGACCATTCTGAGACCACCACACCTTCTGGGATGTGTTTTGGTTGTCAGGCTTTCCTGCTGGGGCAATGGGAAAAGTCTCATCCTGTAGCTGAGTCTCCTGTAGCATTTCTTCTGGGAGGAGAAAGGTCTAGATCCTCCTGACCAGACCAAGTCCTTTTCTTCCCCTGATCAGCAGTGGGCCTGGGAGGAGAAGCAGCCCATGATTGCCTAAGGAGGGGCTGATGGGGGCAGCTCTAATCTGTCACAGCTGGTGGAAATACAAAGACTTGGCCAAAATCTGTCCCAACATACAGCCCACAGATAAAAACGTCAGGGTTTCTGGTTTAATGTTTGTTTTGTATCCGCTGGTAAAGCTGCCTGTATTTTTGTTTTAGGACAAATGTTTCTACATGTTTCATCTCTAACTTGTCTGATAACTGTTGAGCAAGGTTTTCATTTCCTGTGCAGCAAGTTTGACACAATTTTCCACCTGAAACAAAAGCATCATAGCACAAAGGCTGAGAAGGCTGTGTAGGCGAGCCATGAGTAAACAGCTTTGACTTTGAAAACTAAGAATCTTAAGTCCTGCCTGAGTATACATCCACACTTGCTGAATGTACTCCTGAGGACTCGCTTGCTTTCATGAGGAAAGTCTCCATTCCTTCTTGGATTTCCATAAGTTTTTAAGACAACACTCCTAAGCCTGTTTTGCAATGCAGTTTCAGACCAGGCTTGCTCTGGACAGTGCCGGTTGTACTTTTTGCACGTGAACCTACCCGTCTTTCTGGTGAGATAATGCACAGAGCTGTGCTACCCAGCCAGGTCCTGAAGCTCTTGTGATGTTTGGGGCTCTGTCAGGGTTTCTTGACCTGTTCTCAAGGACAAGAACTTATGCCCTTAACCTGCCTCTGGAAAACTGCACTGTGATTGTGTGTCTCTTTGTGAAGGTGCTTTTGATTTGCTGAATTGCACTGTTGCAGGCATGCTAGTGGGCTGAACATGCAGATGCTTGTGTGAACAGTGCTGTTGACTTTAGCAGAGCCACTTACCCCAGAGAGAGTCTGCAAGGTCCAGTCGTGAACTGTTGCATTTTGGTGTTACAGGTGGTAAGAGTGCCTTAACTAATGAATAAATCAGTTGTGGTGCCTAGGGGTGCCCATGCCAGGCAGGACAGTTCTCCTACACGAGGTTAAGGGTGTCCATGGCTTGTCTAGAAGCATGGGTGTAATTTCAGAGTGCCTTCTTGGTGACATTCAAAACTGGAAATCAATTCTGCACGTACTCCCTTTCATGGTAGCGGGAAGCCGTGCCCCCAGCCCCTTCCCTGGGGGAAGGCAGCCAAAGCCAGACTGAGTCTCAGGCTGGTGCCTCCCACTTGGGTTAGAGGAAGGCAGTGGACAATTGGCCATTGAGTTCACCCAAGACTTGGTGGAATTGTGAATGATTCTTAGGATGCCCTCTGCTAGCTGAAGAAGAGGCCTTTTGTTGGGGGTAGGGAATCTTCTAGGGAAAATACATTAACTTTTTTTTCCAACTGGCTTTGTATAGTACTGTTTGACTTACGCTGGGAGGAGATGTGTTTTGATGGCTAAATATTTCAAAACAGCGTTGATTGTCTTGGCGACATCCTTATAAATGGCAACCTGTGCAGCAACAGGTAACTGTTCATCTTCTGAAGCCTGTGGAAGTGTCAAGCAACATTCCTGAAGTTTGTTAAATAAATTTTTCTGAAATAAGATAACTGTAATTCTCTCTTTTTATATTTATATATTGGGGTGCAGATCTAAGGGGACGAGTGGAGTTTACATAATCGCCCAGGTGCCATTCCGTGTGTTTACGCAGGTATACCAACGAAGAAACCACTGCTTGGTGCTTTGCCGAGCTCTGACCAAGGGAGCCGAGGCTGCTGCACGTTCCCCTCTCCTTACCACTCCAACCTGTCCATGCCAACCCAAGCAGCCAGCCCTGTTTTCTTGTCTTGCAAAACAAGAGGGACAGTCAGCTGTGCTGCTTTGTGGGAATTAGAGATAACCTTGTAGGCTCTCAATGATTTCCTGCTGTTGCATGTGCTCTGTTTACCAGCTAAAGAGCTCTTTCCTGTGTCCTTCACCTCCCTTTTCCCACACCGCACCCTGTGTCTGAAGCATCCTTGCTTTTTTCCCCAGCTCTGCTTATTTGGCCTGCAGAAGTGGTATCTGAGCATGAATGTATTTATACAGGTTTTTCTGAGCTCACTGTACTAACAGTTTTAGTTAAATGTCAGGAAAACAGATCTCCAGCTTCACCACTGAATTAGTTTATGTAATCTCACCTAAGTTAATTAGCACCTGGTGTTCGTTCTGATGAGAGAGGTCATTGGCCTGTCTCAGATGGTTTAGTATCTCTTAAAAGCAGGGTAATGAACATCACCTCGTGTTAATGAGCTGTTTAGCCTTGTTCAGTTGCTAACTTTAATTGGAAACTTGTGCACAAAACATTGCTCGTGGATAAGAATAAGGAAATAACAGTACTGGACATGCTAGCTAGGGAGATATCCTGGACTGTTGCTGGTATTTTGATTAAGTCTACAGTACCTTCATCAGCTGTACTTGGAGGGATGCCTGGTCTGGGGGTTGAGCTTTGCTTGCTTTTGTGAGTCAGGGGAAGAGGATTACAGGAGGATGGCAGTCGTCACCTGCCTTCTCTTTCCCACTGCTGGGGCCTATGGTAAGCAGGTAATGGCCCATCTTCTAAACCTTCCAGGTCAGCTTGCACATGTAAGAAGGGCCTCGTTTCTGGGTGAAATAAAGGTCTGCCCCGGGGGGGGGTGTCCTGGAAGGGGTGCTGGCTGGATTCCTGGGGCCTCTCACCTTCTGGTAGATCCAACCCCTCTGAACTGGCACCACCCTCTTCTGAAACAATTCATTTCAGCTCCCCTGATGCCCAGTGAGGCGTTACAGAATGTGATTATTCACCGCACAACAACACTGCTTTTTGCTTCTGAGGTTTTGCTGGGAACTTCCTTGTTGCTGTGTTGGGAGAGAAAAATCCATTAATCACTTCCTCTTAAATTCAGCCTTAGGTCTTCGACAGCTGATGCTCAGGCAGCTGGAGCTGCTGCCTGCACTGCTGGCTTGCAGAGCTGCAACTGGCTTCTCAGGGTACCTGGAGTGAATAGCCAGCGGCTGTCACCAGTGTCCCAGAACAATGATAACTACTTGTCTGAAAGATGGTACTGAAGTCCTGTTTACTGATAACAAACACCTGCTTTACATTGGATAGGGAGGAGCGAAAGGGAAGTCGGTGAACTCTGAATATGGAGTTTGTGTTCAGTCTGTGTCAGCTGTTTCAGGCCACTGATGCTGGAGTCTGCATGCCTTGCACCCGTTCATCTCCCGCTTTTTGCATTGCTCGCTGAGATTTACTTCCCTGTTCCTCTTCATCTGCTTATAAACATGTCAGCATTCCTGGAGCCAAGTAGCTCTTTTCTCTAATATTCCGCAGTATAGTTAATCAAGAGAGATCCCCAGCAGGGAAGGGTGCTTTTGCATCACCTTTGCAGAAGATGGGCAAGATGAGAACCCATCCCACTATGGTGGTGTTTGGCAGCAGCTTTCTACATCTAGGTCACAGCATTGTAGTAACACCTGGGGCCACCTGCTTCTGGCACCTACCCGAGTAGACACGCTCTTCCCAAAGAACCAAGGACTGCAAATTCCAGCTGACATCTGAGGGTTTTTATGGAGCCTCAGCTCTTCATACAAACCAGGACAGTGCTCGATGCCTGAAGCAAACATGTAATACAGAATCTGGGAATACTTCAATTTTTGGTTATTTCTGGCAAGTCAAATAAAACCAAAATGGCCATGTAAAAGAGTAACTTATGCTAGAACTGGTTTTTTTAAATGCAAAAACCAGCAGCGTTTTATTTTGGGGCATGTGGTTCGTCCCTGTTTCACCAAGACTCCTGTACAAATAGGTATCATGCTCAGCCTGGGCTCCACCTGACCTTGTGCCATCAGTGTTGGCCCTAACTACACACTTGCAGGGCTGAGCTCTTACACTGGCTTGTGGGAGAGCCAATAATTGCATCAGATCTAATTAATTACATGTTATTGTATCTCTGAGTCTATATTTTTTTCATTTATGGCAGAGGAAGGCACTTGCATTTAAAACAAACAGCTGCTTTGGTCTGACTGATAATTGTTTAATTCTCAGACAGGGAACATAACAAGTTGTTTCACTCTTCTTGGTCTTATTTGTAGGCCAGAGAGAAAATGAGGCTAATGGTTGTATCTTTTCAGAAGTATCTGACT